GGTTTAATCAAGGGAAATAGTATAACGGCGCATCTCCGCATTCAATGCATTATTAATAGTGCATTATTAAATATCTTTTTTTAGTGGTCAACGTATTGTGCATCAAAAAATAAGTTAACTCCGATGAACATATATTAAAGATTCCGTTAATCTGACAGTGCAACAAATTAATTGTTCTTTAATAACCCAGATATATTGATGAAAATGTTTGACATACTGTATATAGCGATAAAAGAAAAATCGATTAATTAATCACGTGTAAATTATGAAAAAAATGAAACCAATTAATTTTTTTTTTGATTTGTTTCATATTTACTGAAATGGAACCTAACATTTTATAGTTTTTTTTCGATTGTTCACAAAGTACGTAACCTATGATAATCATTTATCATTATCAGTTGTGCAAATAACGATAACTTTTGTATGTATGCATGTACTTAATAGATCTACTTTGTAGCATATACATTATATTCACTATATTCACTATATACATTGAAAACGTTTCTTGTCAACTTTTTAAAATACAGTAAAGAAAGAAATTTATTAATTTATTAAATTAAACGAGTTAATAATATAAACATATTTATAGTTAATAACGATAATAAAGTTGGCGCAAGCAACGTTAGTAATTTCTAATTTCCAGTATTGTCAACGCATATAACGATAAAGTAAAAGTCTTTCTTTACTTGCTTTACCCGCATAACTAATGAGGAAATCAAAATCGATACGTATCGTAGGTACGTATGACCAGATGAGGTATATAGATTGTGCATAATGACATTCTCATATGAATAAGGCCGAATCAACCAATAAATCTCTTTTTAATAGGAAGACTAACCTTTTTTTATTGGTCTATTTTGTTTGTTTATTATTTAAATTAATAAATCCCATTGTTACCGTTATGTTACTGTTATGTTACTGTTATGTACATGAATAAGTATGGCCGATAGCGATACGTAGTTACAGTCGCCTACGCCCGAATTCTAAGTATACGAATTATATACGAATTATATGCTAATTATACGCAAATTGTATGAAAATTGTATACAAGTTGTATACAAGTTGCGTACAAGTTGTATACAAGTTGCGTACAAGTTGTGTACAAGTTGTGTACAAGTTGTATGCAATTGTATGCGTTAGATGTCATCTAATCTGCATAGAACATAATATGGTTGAATTGTGTGTATCCAAGTTACGTAAATTGCACAATGTGAATATCCCCCTGTTTGACTTTTTGACATTTTCAACATTTTAATAATAAAAAAAAAAAAAGTCTTAAATATTCTTATCTCGGTTTTATACTTTGAAATACCAAACAGGTAGATACTCCTTTGTGTTCGGCTCTATTAAGTAACCAACCAACCAATCATTTTTTTTTTTAGAATTTATTCATTTAGAAATTAGGTTTTTTTACATGTCTATTTTTAGTAATGTAAGTTTTCGCTTATACTTTGTTACTCTATTCTCGCCGCTTGTTTCACCGATAGTGATACGCACGATGACTACTGTGTATATTCAAATGGATTTTTATTATACATCGTAGGTAATCATGAATGATATTATATTTTATATTGTTTTTTCATACTTATATATTGATTCTATTTTCGATTATTTTGTTTCAGGGTTCATACTTGATTTCTGTAAAAAAGATCATCGTTGACTATTGAATAAATTCCTAGAGTCGACGTGGTATTTCATCACAGCTAATCAGTATTCGGTTTCGTGTGTTTTTTTTTCTGTATAAAACTCCATTTTCTCCTTTTAATTCCTTGGCGCCGGATTCGCCATTATTTTTTTGATAATAATCCTCTTTCACTCTACCGATA